TTACCTTTGCTATTACTTACCTGCATCCTTTTCCGCAGTAATAATCCATAACTTTTCTCTAGATTCAAGATTTTAGATAATGGCGGCGATGTGTAAAAATTCTTTGACCCCACCATTACCTCCCGTATAAAGCAAACGATGACGAGAACAAATACGTACAATCATATTATTATCAAATCTATTACAGATCGAAGAATCGATCGATGTTTTAAGCCTTTAGCTTTTACAAGACTGTGTTTAGTGACTGACACTACACTGAACATTACACTAATACAATGACACAATAGACGTGATGCTCATACGAGAGTACTAACTTTGTTTATTGAGCGAGAGCAATGGAGGGTTTAATTCCCTTAAGTAAAAACTTTTTATTTAGTTTTTTGAGGTTTCAATATCTTAAAAGTTCTACGGAATGTATATTCATTCATGATTAAAATAGAAATATTGTTAAATTTTTATATAACAAAAATATGAAGTTATGATGTATTCTATGTGATTTTTACAAAATAATATCCTTTAATAAAAAACCCTTTAAATCTCTATTTTTTTTATATTTAATCAGGTTTTTTAACTCGAACTCTATAATTCATTGGGAAAAAATTCATGATTCTCTCAATTATATTGAAATTTTAAATATTAAATTCAAAAAGTTGATTTTTATGTTGAAAAATAGAAAGTTCGAGTTAAATTTAAAATAAGTATAATTTTACAAAAATATATACAGAATTTAGAAATATATTCATTTCAATACAGATGCATAGAAATTTTTGTATTTCAATATAGATGCACGCTGACTTTTTTATTCTAGATTTATGAATAAAACACATTTTCTCATTCACTTGATATTGTTGATATTGTTCAATCTTGTTTTTCTACTGAAATTCGTCCCAAAGCGCGCATAAATTTTTATGGCTCGCATTATTTCGTATTTGTCTGCAACACCTTTCTACTTGCTGGTATCATGATTTCCTATGAGACTGCGGATGCTGACCAAACGTCTGCAATTTGCAATAACTTAACTGTAAGGATGATTTATAGGAATGATTATAATACACTTTGAAACGAGTGAATATCTGTAAGTTACTATATCTACGATTTATCCTTTCGAGTGGTTATCTTTTCGAAAAGTGAATTTAATAACATCAAGCGAAAAAACCGCTCGACTTGCAAAATGTACACAGCAAGTACATGCAGCGTAGAAATATCGTTGCGATTTTTCGGTCATGAAATCGAATCGATTTTCATCGAAGACATTCGTATTACAATTTTTACGATACATGTACGATATTTTCCTCTTATTTTCATTCGAAAATTGGAGAAAACATAACGAGAATGACATCCATCATTGCATTCTTCTGAAAGGATTGTTTTGTGCGATACATTTCCCTTCAAAACGACTGCAATGCATGAGATACGACCGAATCTTGCGTCTGCTCTCGTTCGGAAGTGATACATGCTACTGATACGGATAAAATTTATTATGTGATGTAACTTCAGGAGCGGAGTCGATTGCCACTCAACGCCGGTCAATGCTGCCGCTATGCGCGTGTAAAATTGTCACGTTACATCATCGTAGAACCAGAGGTACTGGAATTCTCACAGCCGCTAATTCATGCTAACTCAATGATATTTATTTACTTATACAGCAGCAGTTTCATTCAAAGTCGAAGGGAAATTTTTCTTTCTGAAAAATTATTTCTTCACACAGAAGTTACATTTACACAGAAAGAAGGAGAAAAATATATAATATGTGTTTGTTTGGATAAAGCATGAAGTTTATATTTTGTTTGATTAATCTTGAATATATATTTTAAAAATGGTCTTGAAATTTTAACTTGTCAGAGTGAAACGATCAAGTGACTGACAATGTTGCTCGAGCGAGTCCTCCATGATGTATAGCTGACTTGACATAACAAATTGAACTATTATAGTTATGACCATTATATTTCATTATCTGTGAACAATTATATTTTAATTTTCCACGTGATTGTCCACAGAACAATTTGATAAATTATAGTTGTGTATTTTTAAAGCAAACGTCTCGTGATCTCGATGTCGCGAACAATATAATACAAGAAATACGTATGATTGCTCTTACCTCTGATTGTCCCTTTCTCCGCTGATCGTCAAAGTAGTCGTTACACATTTACGTGCGCTTCATATAATGGTCTTCGGTAATTACAGTTGAACGGTAGTCATTCTGTATAAAGCAGCACTTTATCCGCTGCTTCTATGAAGTCAACCTAGTGAAAGTTTTTATGGTATAGTATAGCGTTTAACTAGCAAGCTGCGCGGTTCTATCTGACATTACTGTCTGGAATACGCGAAAACGTGACTCACAACTGATCACAATAAGAAGAGATTCATCTTTTTTTCTACAAGAATCGTGAAGAGAGAATCTACGTCGGTTAAACAGAAGGATAGCTGGTGACTGCGGCTGTAACAATTGTTGGAATCGGTCAATTTAATCGAGAAGCACGGATAAAGAAAGAAAAGATGATACCTACGAGCACTGTTGACAATTTGATGGAATTTACTTTACGGATGATCGGCATTTGGCCATATTCCTCATACAGATTCTTAATGCGCATTATTTGGACGATGACGATGACCATCTGGCAGTTCTTACAGTACTGGCATCTCTTCAGTCATATCGGTTTCGATACTCTACCGAATCTCATGGATTCTTTGAGTCTGTGTTTATCAAACAGCTTGTTGTTTCTAAAAATGAGTCTCCTTTGGCTGAACGGACGGTAAGACTCGTTGAAGATCAACTAACAAATGAGGGATGGGCACGTAAATATTTTTTTATATTTATAGCTATATCTGAATTTTTTCAAATTCAAAGTTGAATATGTTAATTTGTGAGTTAAAGTTAGTTAATTTGATACTTGAGCGTAAAAGTTAAATATTGAATATGTTACATCACAATAGATTATTGCCTTAGATACGTTTTTTTAAATAGAAATTGAAATCCTTCTCCAAATGTAATTTTATTTTTTGGAAAATTAATTTATAATTTATAATATTTTATAATATTTTTGAAATTAGTTTTGCTACTAGTTTGTATACTAATTATCTGTATGCATATATTATGTTATATATCTACACGTTATCCAGTATTATTTATGACATGGTTGCGAGAATTGCTGAAGACTGGAATGAGTGCTCCTCTAATCACTCAAAGATGCAGCTGATGATAAGCAAAGCGATCTTATCTCATCGAATTTCAAAATACAGCATTGGTACATACACTGTCGTGTTACTTTTATTTGGAGCAGGTAACATGATCGTTCAAAAGACTATGGGCTCTGAGCAACTTGTCGAAGAGAAGCAGCTTATTGTCAAAATGAAACTGCCGTCTGAGTTTGATGCGTCACCGATTTATGAAATTGTTGTGGTCACGCAATTTTTTGTACAATTCACATTGGCACTTTTAGCAGGAATGTTGAATGCTCTTATTGTAACGTTAGTAAGTTGATTCCGTAACAAAAAATGTAGCATTTTTTCTTGACAAAAGCCCAATTTTAATAACTATTTTATTCCTATATACGAAATATTGCAACGACATTGCAGCAATATTACTTTAAAGGATTGCAATATTTCAAAATATTGCTCAAAATATTCCTTTGTCCCGTTAAAATAGAACATTGTTGCAATAGTCTGCAATATTACTACAATGTTTAGAGAAATATTGTAAATATATTATTGCACATTATGTAATATTTTATCCAGTTTTATTGCTAAAATATTATTCATTAGTATCACATTCTAAAATACACGACAAAATTATGAGCAAAAAAAACAGCTTTTTTGAGATCCAGAAGGCGCACTTCGAAAGAGCTTGGAAAGTTCTTTCGAAGTGCACCTTCTGGATCTCCCAAGAGATTTACAATTCAATACATTTTCTCTGATAGAACTTCAGGATTTCTTCTTATAAGAATCGTATCCATCTCGTGGTAGGGTCGCGTACTTACTTATATGGGTAGTAATATATTTTAATATTTCTTGCAAAATATTAAAATTACAACATTGCGCATTATTAAAATATTGCCACGATATTGCTGCAATATTTTGTGCTGTGTATATATAGGGATATTTATTATTTATTATTTTATATCTACATATATAATTTTTTTAAACGTCAATATAATGTTATATTAGCATTATCAACATACGCGATACTATTAGGGTAGTCAAATGAAACGAAGCGGATGAAAAATTCAGACATTGAAATCAACTAACATGTTAATAATCGTCGTAGTTGGCAAGGCTTCTTCCATTGTAAAATCAGATGACAGATATCCTGTTCATAAAATTCCTTAGACTGGGATCGAATTTACTTGCAAATATGACCTCCTGTACTGCGTCTGGTAATTTCCTGCCTTTCAAATTCTTCTTTAGTATCCCGCAACTCTTAACTATAGTTTATCGTTATGTTGTCGTTGGGTAGCTTTTTTATCATATATAATATTTGGGCAATGGCAACATAATAATATTGACACTGTCGTTAAAAGTTACAGAATCGGAATATTGATCTCCAAAAATGTGGAAATTGCATGATTTCAGTGGATTTCAAATGCTGGAGCACCCGGACTTACAACTCAGACTTGTCGCCATGCGATTTTCACATTTTTGAAGATATGAAGGAGAACTTAAAAAGGCAAGAAATTTCTGTCGAATGCAGCAGTGCAAGTGGCTCGATGTTCGCGAGTGAGTTCGATTCGAATCCAAAGAATTTTATAAATAGAGCATCCATTGTCTGCTTTCACAATGGAAGAAGTGCCTCCGTCAATCATGGTGATTATTACTACATGTTAGCTGATTTCAGTGTTTGAATTTTTTGTTCGCTATATTTTATTTGATTGCCTTAATATTGCAATAAATCTTTACATTTTACAACGAAAATTAGTTTTATATCATCAAAGAAATTTGAGTGCTAATATTTGAGTTAACAGATCCCTAATGTGCGTCCTTAAATGATCTCTAGAGATTGACAGATTATAGCCTTTGGGACAATTCTAAATCATTCACTTTTAGATACTTCACGTTGCCGGTCAAATTGACATAATATGTCACGAATTGCTGGAAATTCCTATAGCTGAGAACAAATATGACTCGCGTATAATCTTATTGAGATCTATCGTGAGTAGACATCAAAGAATTATTGCCTTTGCAGACAGTATCGAGGATGTGTTCTGTTATATGGCATTGATGCAATTTCTCTTAAACACATTCGTTATTTGCTTCCTTGGATTTGTAATTGTAACTGTGAGTAACTTAACAAGCTCGTTTCAAACAGAATTTTGCGATTTGTTCGAAGGATCTCGTCTCTGAATCGTAGTCGTTTGGCACTCATGATGGAAATATTTTGATGGTAAAGATTATACCTTATTATGCCGTCGTAAATTTAGAAGCCTTTATACTTTGCTTCAGTGGCGAATATCTTACTTCCAAGGTGAGAAAAAGAGAAGAGAAAGATCAGTTTCATATCGTAAGGGAAAGTTTAATGAGCATAATGAAAAGTACAGGCAAGAGAAATAGGGAACATAGATTTTATCTTATTAAATCCTATATTACGCAGTATAGGTATAACACTTTTTGGTAGATTGAAATCTGTTATTTTCTTCTTATTGCCTGTGCTTTTATGTATATTAGGCTTAACTGTACCTGTAGTATGGGCTAGTACTTATAGTCTTGCCCATATTTACATGAATATTTAAATCTTTACTTTCACCCGTAAAAATGTGTTTCATATTTTCAATTAATGTTCAAAAAGATTTCTTATTTTATTAAATCTGATTACCTGTTTTCGAATTAGATTCAGCAACGCTTAGATAGGCCATATCGGATTTGATCATTTACTTTATAATAGATATGTATAAGTTGAATAAGAAGAATCGATTTAGCGATCGCTTTGATGTAAATGATGTGAGAAATAGTTGATTTATGCGAAGAAATAAATTAAGCTGTCGCATTTACAGAATTGTCGAACGTCCTTACGGAAATAGACTATTAGAAACTATTATATTTGATTATTCAGTCATAGATTTTTCGTAAACTATTGAGAAGAGCTACTATTACATTATTGAGAAAACTATTGGATTCAATTAATTAATTTTTTCAATAATTATCTAATAGGTTTCTCTGTGTGTGTGTGTGCGTGTGTGTGTGTGTGTGTGTGTGTGTGTGCGTGCGTGCGCGCGCGTGTATGTGTGTGTGTATGTGTGTGTACACATACAGGATTCACTTAAATCGAACATCTTGAATATTTTGCTTATTTTTAATGATATAAAAAAGTACTTCAAATGAAAATGGAACGGCTTTGAAGGGGACATATCATATTTTGATCGCATTGTTTTTATTTTAGATGGAGGTATCAAAAAGATATAAAGGTCACCTCTATTTTTTTAAATGGAATTATTTAATCTTTTTTAGATAATATGATTCCTCTAATTATTCCGCATATAAAAGTATTAAGATGGAGATATGAAAAAAATCAATAGTTTACGAGATATTTTATATTTTATTGTGGCATATATTGACATAAAACATTAAATAACTCATAAACTATTAATTTTTTGGATAATCGTATCTTAATATTTTTATTAACAGAATAATGAAATGAATCAATTACCGGAAAGAAAACACGTACTTGCTTATTTTAAAAATTATTCATTTGGTATACATATTTTTTAAAACATTTTTGCATTTCTTTTCACCAATTGATTCATCTCATTATTCTGTTCATAAAAATATTATAAGGTACGATTATCGACAAATTAATTCTTTATGATTTATTTAACATTTTATATTATAATAATATAATAATATATATAATAATATATGCTGCAATAAAGTATAAAATATCTCTAAAATA